TTATATCAATTATAATAATTCTTATAAAAAAAGTAAAGTTTTTTATATTGATAATTTTAATAACATAAAGTAAACAAGGCAATATATTTCTTTATAATGTATTAATTATATTAATATAATTTATTCTTATATCTATCCATTTAATACATTTTATTTATATTATATTTTTTATTTTATTTTTAAAAGAGTAATTAGCTTAGTATATCTCAACTAAAGTAGAAGAATAATGATTTGATGTCGTGCTTGACTTGCCTGTTGTTGCTACTCTTATAACCTAAAGATCACTTATAATTGCTATCATAATGTGTAATTGTGATTAATGCGATTCAATAATTAACCTTAAATTGTTGTGATTTATGTACTTGCATTATTTTGATTTTACACTTAATAAATTATATGATTTAAAATTTTAATGAATGTTATTATTCAATTCTTTCTTCGACTTTGTCTGATTTATCAGAACAATGGGATGTCTCAATCTCATCCTGATCCCGTCATGATTCTTAATAGGACAGGATGGAACAAGGGATAAAAATTCGACCCTGATCCTGTCTCATCCCATGAACACCCCTAGCAGCATGGATAGAGATCAAATAAGAGAGACAATCCTTGATTAGAGAATCAAATAGACGATCGAGGTAGAAAAGTTAAGCGTGGTTATGACGACAGGAGATTTTTGCTCAAGCTTTAAATGATTAGAGGACTATCATTGAAAGTTAATATGCATACTGGTTTATGGCTGAAGGGGTTCTAACATTTGTGATCACTCTAGCGATTCTTTTTATCACACTCAAGGGCCCTCGTCATGAATTATTGAAGACTTGGTTAGTGGCTGTATCTCCTGTGATTTTGGTCATGGTTGGCTCTATTTACACTGGGCCCTCTATAAATCCTACTGATGTGAGTGATCACATCTTTTCATTGTCTTTTGAATATCATAATATAAATATTGTTTGATAACCTTTGAAAGAGGCTTGTTATTTTCCTATTACAACTCCTTGTCCTATTGTTTTCAAAATATTTGATTCCATCTTTTTTTTTTTGTCTTTCATACCATTCCTAGATGCATTCACCTTCCATGTTTCAACCTTCAGCACTGTTATATATGGTGTGACTTCCTTTGAAAAGTTTTGTTATGTGAAAATAATGAGTAGTAAGGGGATGAGTTGAAGTTTGTTAGTAAGCAAAGTACCCATGTAAACGTTTATAGTGATAAACAAGAAGATAAGATATCCAAATGTAGTAGGGTATGATATGAATTCAATATGGATTCTATAGTAAAAAGGCTATGGATTTGTATCTTGCTATTCATGTGACAATTTTTTTTTTTGCATTAATAGATAATCCTAGATCGTGATAGCACCTCACTTTTTTCTCTGTCAGAGGGTTGTTAGTTCTAAAGGTAGAAGTGTTATTGAACTAATAGAAAATTAGGGGGCTAGCTTTTGTAGTCCCCTCTCCTCCCTCACTCTGCGTTAATGATCACAAAGATTAGTCTAAGTATCTTCTTATAATATATAGTGTAAAGGTAATAGGATTCGGTGAGTCCTGGTGTTCAATTAGCCTTGTTTTAAAGTTGTAAATAAGGATAATAAAGTTCTCTTTTTGTGATGCGTCATGTGAGAATAATTTTTTTTGGCCCAATCTTGTATCCATTATAGAGAATGAGTGTAAAAACCAACAACATGAAAAAATGAGAAAAATGTTTGAAGAAAAACTCTACCAAGCACAGTTGACTTTTGTAGGATTAAATAGTTTCTATTTGTGCTGTGACAGCTTACTATGCCTTTGACATTACCTTTGCTACTTTTGTGAAGTAGTGAATTTTGTGGAAAAATGATTGATCGCTTATTCTTGATTCTTAATTTGATTTGCAAAACTATTTAGTTGTTCTTTATGAGTTTCTAGACGAACATATTTGTTCCCCCTCCCCTTTTTATGGTTCCATAAGTTTATAATGTAAATGACTTTTCTAAATGGTTTTAAATTCAATTGGAGAAAATATTAGGCAAGGAGCATCATTAGTGGCTCTATCAGATGCCATACTTGATAAAGAAGCAATTGGGTAGCATAACTTTGAAAAGATATTTAAACTTGCTCAATCTGCAGCCTTGTTAGGTAACAATGTTGTAAATTGATAAGACTTTGCACTTTTATCATGACATAGTTTCTGGCTTTCTACTAAACATTATCAGCATAGTTATTGCATATATTTCTCAATCATTTTAGTGAGAATTCATAAAACTTTTTAACCAACCAAAAATACTTGTGTGGATGGTGAATGATGTGATTTGATCTACTAAGAGTATAGCTAAAAATAGAAAATAAATAAGTAGGCTTATCATCTCTTCAACCACTCTAGCTTCATCAACCCAAGTCATCTTTAAAATTGATCAATATTTTGCTTTTACTTCTTCTCTAATGTGCTTATTGGTGGCTCATGTTAGTGACCAACCTCGAACTTGTTAGATTCAGTGAGCATTTTTACCTTAAAATCATTTTTCTACTTGATAAAGTAAATACTTAATTTAATATTACAATCCTTTTCTTCCTTAGAATTAGAATTTGAGAATTATTATTCTTTCAAGCTATTGGGAATAAATATAATAAATGTAAATATTGTAATTTTAAACCAACACGTAAAGTAATTTCCCACATACCTCCTTTGTCTGGTAAAATTTTCCACTCCTTGTATTGTATCATTTTTATTTTGCTTTTTTTTATAGGCATTTGCTGATGAAATTAGCATACCATTTCTAGAAATAAGTGCAAAGAATGCTACAAATGTGGAATAGGCATTCATGGCCATGACTGATGGAAAGGATCTAGCTGAGAGAGAAGATGAGGTTCTATTCGAATATGAGAAAAAATGAGTTCAAGTCAAGAAGTTATTACAAATTCAACTCATGCATATTCTAAATCAAATGAGCTACAAGGAAATATTGATAAAAGAATTCCCTTGAAAGATGAAATGAAATTGTGATTATACTTTGAAGTGCATTTATGATCATCCCTCTTTTTTTTTATAGATTAGGATATAGTTTAATATGGGTATGATATTGTTTTTAACTCTGGTGGTATATTTTTTTAATATGGGGTGCCCTATTATCTTTATTTATCATTTTAATTGTATTTGATAAAAAGATAAACCAAATTTAATAGAATTAATGTTTTTTCATTGAAATTATTGTTGTTCATTTTCACTCTTCACGTTTAATTGTTTTATCAGGACAATTCAATTATCCTCAATGTTACATTATTGAATTCACATCTTTTACAGGTTAATATGGCTTGTTATACGATGTATAATACTTAAAAAAGAAAAAATTTATTGTGAGCATTTCCTTATTTGTTTTTTGTAAGGCAATATGTAATTTAATAGGGCATGTTGTTATTCTTACACCCATAATATATTTTTTGATTTAGAGTACTAAAACCAAATGATGTAAGGATTTTAGCTTAGGGTATAAGGGTCTAGCTTGGGTGCAAGGTATTTGGCTTAAAGTGCACACATTATGAGTTAAGGTGTGAGGGTTTTGGTTTGGGTATAAGAACTATGGCTTGGATGTAAAGCTTCTGGCACATGTGTTATAGCTTAGGGTGTAAGGGGGTATGGCTTGGGTGCAAGAAATCTGATTTAAAATGCAAAGCTTCTGGTTTAGTTATTTTCATGTAACTCACAATCGTTTTCATGTAATTCAAGGGCATTGACAATGATGTGCTCTCTATGTGTTTAATTTATATGTAATTCGCTAGATATTATATGTAGATTATTTCTTAGGCATGCTCGTGAATTTCTTCATATATTAATTTACATGTAATCCATAATCATTTTCATAAAATTCAGGGGCACTAACAAGGCGTACTCTCTGTGTATTTGATTTACATGTAAAATACTAGAGATTATATGTAAATCATTCTATAGTCATGCTCGCAAGTTTTTTCGCATATTAATTTACATGTAATCTATAGTCATTTTCATATAATTTTAGGAGATTTACAAGGGCGTACTCTCTATGTATTTAATTTATATGTAATCAGGTAGAAATTACATGTAAATTATTCCTCAGGCATAGTTGTGAATTTTTCCCTATATTGATTTATATGTAATCAATAGTTATTTTCATGTAATTTTAGGGGATTGACAGGGGGTGCTTTCTATGTGTTTAATTTATATGTAATCTGCTAGAGATTACATGTAAATTATTCCTTAGGCATGCTTGCAAATTTTTTTTCGTACTGATTTACATGTAATTAGTTGTCATTTTCATGTAATTACAGTGTTATTGACAATGAATGTTCTCTATATTTTTTATTTACATGTAATCCATAAGATATTACATGTAATTGTCTAAGCCAAAAGCCTTGCATCTTAAACCAAATCCCTTGCATTTTAAGCCAGATTTATTGCATCTAAGCCAGATGCCTTACACCCCTAGTCAAAAGCCTTACATCTCAAGCCACAATTTTTGCACCCAAGCCAAATCCTTTGCACCTAAACCATAAGCCTTGCACCCTAAGTTAGAAGCTTTACACTCAAACCAAAAGCCTTGCACCCAAGTTATAAGCCTTGTACCTCAAGTTAAATTCTTTGTACCCTAAATTAAAATCCTTACACCCTTTAGTTGTTGAGTTTTCATATAATCCTTGATGATTACATGTAATTAAGGAGTGTTAATTTTTTTGGCGACACTTTCCAACAATCCTTCACCCGTTGATCGGAGCTTTGATGACTTTATTTTGTACCTTTTAAAAAAAATAATTAATACAAAGGAGCATTTTGATTATTTGTTCAAATTATTTAAAAAATATAATTTTAATCTTGATCCTTCAAATACATTTAATCTTTAGGATTAATTTTGCTTCTAATTAGGTCCTTTTCACTAATTTTTTCAAAAATCTATATAGCCCTCATAATACAAAAACTCTATAAATTTCACTTCCGTACCCACGAATTTATGAATTTATATGTTATACTCAGCACGGACCCTTCAATGACTAAAATGCCAGTGAAAAAACAGGAAGGCGAAATTTCTTTTTGATTTCGGCCCTGGACTTCCAGTTCGCTGGAGTTTGGCCATCGGACACAGATTCTCAGATTTTTGTGAATTGAAAGTCGAATGATGGCAGCGAATGGAGACGATGATTTCGATTCGCTATTTGAGGGGATGGTCCTCTTTAATCCTTCCCAAATTCAAGAGGACCCCCTCCCAGATAATCAACAAGACGGTCGTTCTGATGATCGTACTGATGATGACCTTCAACATCGTCAAAATGATCTTCGTGCAACATCTACTGTATCACCATCGCCTTCTTCGCAGCCCCTTGACGAGAATCTTTTCTCCGACCTCACACTTGTCACTTCCCTCCAAAACTCACAAGGAGCTGAACCTGAGCTTCCCCTCCAATCTCAATCCCCTCAAACATCCGCAGGCACAAATGCACCTGTAGTTGCCGCTGATGCTGCTGTTGCTGCCTCTACCACAACAATTACCACGAGACAAAGCTCCAGAAAGAAAAAGCGAGCGGGCTTGAGGATAGGATATGGTAGGGATGCCTTTTCCGATGATCCGTCTCATCTTCCTTCTCCACCGATCGAACATCTTGTTTTGAATTCTAGTCATGTCGGTTCCGAAACCCCTGACGTCTTGCAAACCGCCAATTACTCGTCTAATGCGGATGCCCTCCCGCCCAATATCACCACTGATGCAGTTGTTATCTCACCAGCCAGTGAATCTTCTTATGATAATTCCAAATTTGAGATTAGTTCTGATCAGAAAGAAGAAGAAATTTCTGGGGAAAATAATACTTCTCAGGATTCTTTTTCTGAGGCTGAGTTTCGGCAAATTAAGGCCCGGATAAATGAAAAGCTTAACAGTGCCCTTCAACTGGTAGCCTCTGTTTCTGCTGTCCGGAAGGATTCGATCAGGAATAGAAGAAAAGCCGTTGAAAATGCGAATCTTGCTTCTGTCAAGTACATGGAACTTGAAAAGCAGTTGGAAGAAGCCTGTGAAGCCGAAGATTTTGAAAGGGCTGAAAGGGTCAGCCAAGACCTTTCGGCTGCTGAAAAGGAGAAACAAGCTTGCGTGAATTCTCTGAGGGAGGCAGATGCGTTCATCGATTCTGTAGATTTCAAGATGCAACAAGCACTTGACTCCCAGATTACCGCTGAGGAAGAATGCGCAGTCTTACTGGAGCAGTTTGCAACGGTTAGTACAAAGAGCCAAAGAAGTGTGGAAGGATGTAAAATTAAGTTCTTTTTAACAATGTTGCTACTTTATCACCTTTCTAGTTCACTCTTATCTAAAACTAATCCACAATTATCATTATTTTTGTTGTTACAGTCAAAAATGCCTTACACCCTATCTTGCATAATTTTAAAATCTACCAGGACATTGTTTATTAGCTTTGGTAGAATGTAAAACAAGCTTCTAGAGTTCGGAAGCTAGAATGTCTGCAGAGAACGCGTAGCTTATATCCTACTAATTAATGAGACTACTACACTTTTCTAGAATAAACAGATCATTATATGCCGTGCTGTGGTTGATAAGACTGCAAGAGAGAAGAGTTCAGTTTTCCCTTGGACTTGGTTATTTGTTCTTGGAGGATTTGTCTGTCACCTTTCTTTGTTTTGGATCCTGCACGGGAGCAGAGAAAAGTGAGAATTTAGAGATTATAAGAAAGAAGAGTTCGCTTGGACTTGGTTAGCTGCCAACTTGCTGTTGGCCCATAAGAGAAGGGAACTTGGGTCTTTGTAATTTGGTGTCTTTGATTATTTGTCTGGGAACGTCTGAACATCACTGCAGCAGGGAAGTAGCAGTGGCATTTTCCCTTAGAGCATACCTTTCTCTAGCCTTGTTTAGTCAACCAAGTAGGGACCCTCCATAACCAGTGGCATGCCACCTATGTGAATTGCTGCAATTCATCTGTGTAGTCTCAAATACCTCTTCTTCTTGGCACCTTTTGATCTGAAAATATATAATATATTTCTTTGCATCATGGCCAATCTTCCTTGTGGTCTGTATATTCAGTATCCCATGCTTGATAGCATGTTTGCAGTTCTCTGGTGGAAGGACCTTTCTCTTGGCCCCTTTCCTGAGCAGCAGATCAGTTTGCATGGTATTTACTTTTTCCCTAGACCTCTATGTATACAAGTTGTTAGAGAATAATGCAATACAATTGTACATCAAAATATACCATCTATCCATGCAGAACCACTCCTTAGCTTAAGCACTTTTAATAATGATTGTTTGATTTTGGCACTCATCTGTCAGTCTTGGTTTTAGCTATCCATTGAAATAATTACCAGGTCTCTTTCTAGCATAATTTTGAGAATATATGGTAGATAACTAAGGAATTCAAAAAATAAACACAAGGAAAATCCTTGGTTTTATGTTTATAACTGAAATATATCTTATATCACATTTTACAAATAGGATGTAATGGTGGCATTATAAACCTCGACTAACAGGTTCCTAAGCCATTTAATGTCTCCAATCTATGAAGCCTCAAAAATAAATATGCGTCATATTTTTGTCTAACACTTACATTGGATGCTATGCAACACCTCAAATTTTAATTTGATACTATAACCATTTATATCAGGACTCTAATTTAACCATCATTGCCTTATACTAACTCAAATAACTCTTCAAAATCTCTACAGAGTCACCCTCAAAATTACACAAAAAAGTGTCGAGTAACAGAAAACTGTGATGACCAGCTACCATCTACTTTAGAAGGAGACTTATTTTCAACTTTTTAAGTTGATCTTGATACATGCCAAGCGCTGTAAACCAATGAAATATACAAAATCTTGAATTTTTCCCCTAAAAAATATTTGGTGGATTGGATTTTGGTTTTGATTTTAGAAATTTAGCTCATGCTATTTGTATGATGAGCATACAACAACAACAACAAGCCTTTATCCCACTAGGTGGGGTCGGCTACATGGATTGCAAGACGCCATTGTGCTCTATCATTTATTAAGCTTTTAGAAATATTATTAATTAAGAGATCACGTTCAACAACTTCCAAGAGTGTTCTCTTAGGCCTTCCTCTACCTCTCTTAATCGGACTCAAAGTTATATGTTCCACTCTTCTCACCGGTGCCTCCCTTGGTCTTCTTTGTACATGCCCAAACCATCTCAACCGATTTTCTACCATTTTTTCCTCAATAGGTGCCACCCTCACTTTTTCACGTATGTGCTCATTTCGGATTTTATCTTTACGTGTATTTCCCTCATCCATCGTAACATTCTCATCTCTGCTACTCCAACTTTATGCTCTTGCTGTCCCGTTAGAGCCCAACATTCACTACTATATAACATTGCCGGTCTGATAGCAGTACGATAAAACTTTCCTTTAAGTTTATTAGGCACCTTACGGTCACAAATAACTCCTTTAGCTTTCCTCCAATTAAACCACCCAGCTTGAATTCTATGTGAAATATCTCCACTGATTTCGCCATCATTTTGAATAATGGCTCCCAAATATCTAAACTTTTCCACTTGAGGTATAATTTGATCTCCCAATTTCACTTCCAAATTATTTTCGAATAGTCCTTTACCAAATTTACAATATAAATATTCCGTCTTACTTCTACTCAGACGAAAACTTTTCGACTCTAATGTCCTCCTCCATAACTCAAGTTTGCAATTAACCTCTTCTCTTGTCTCTGCTATAAGAACTATATCATCAGCGAAGAGCATACATTTCGGGATTTTCTCTTGAATATGTTCCGTCAAAACATTTAAAATCAAGTTGAACAAATAAGGACTCAGAGATGATCCCTGATGTAATCCAATCTTTATAGGAAAATCCTTTGTTTGACCACTAAGTGTTCTTATACTAGTTTTTACCCCCTCATACATATCTTGTATGGCTTTAATATAAGCAATCCGTACTCCCTTTTTTTCCAACGCTTTCCAAAGCACTTCTCTTGGTATACGGTCATAAGCTTTTTCCAAATCAATAAAAACCATGTGTAGATCTTTATCTTTACAACGATACTTTTCCATTAATCCCCTTAGTAGATAAATCGCCTCTGTAGTTGATCTACCTGGCATAAAACCAAATTGATTCTCAGAAATACTTGTCTCCAATCTCAACCTGTGCTCAATTACTTTCTCCCACAATTTCATTGTGTGGCTCATGAGTTTAATCCCTCTATAGTTAGTACAATTCTGAATATCTCCTTTATTTTTATAAATAGGAATTAATGTACTTCTCCTCCACTCATCAGGCATTTTTTTGGACCGTAAAATCACATTAAATAACTTAGTTAACCATCTCACCCCTTCTTCACCTAAACATTTCCACGCTTCGATAGATATACAATCAGGTCCGTTAACTCTACCATTTGCCATTTTCTTAAGAGCTTCCTTTACCTCCTTATCACGTATTTTTCGATAGAATGACAAATTTTGTTCTCTTTCACCAGTTACTAAATCCTCCAAGTTACTAGATGAATCCTCTCTATCATTGAAAAGTTTAGAAAAATAAGTCTCCCATCTATTTTTAATTTCATCATCTGTAACTAAAATTCTTCCCTCTTCATCCTTAATACACCTTACCTGTTCTAGATCTCTTGATTTTCTTTCCCTACTCTTGGCAATCTTATAAATATTTTGCTCTCCTTCCTTCGTCTCAAGGTTCTTATAAAATTCTTCAAAAGCTTTGGAACGAGCTTCACCCACAGCTCTCTTAGTTTCCTTCTTAGCCATACGGTACCTCTCCCAATTTTCCTCATTGTTACACAAATGTATGGCTTTAAAACAGTTCTTCTTATACTTGATTTTGTCCTGTACACTATTATTCCACCACCAAGACTCCTTATCTCTCAGACCAGAACCTTTCGATTCTCCCAAAACTACTTTTGCAACCTCCCGTATCTTGTTAGCCATATCCTCTCATATGATGTTAACACTTCCCTGAGAATCCCAAATTCCTTTATCCAAAAGATTTCGCTTGAAAATATCTTGCTTCTCACCTTTTAATTGCCACCACCTAATCCTTAGTGTTACTACTTGTCGACGTTTTTGGATTTTACTCATAATACACACATCAAGGACTAGGACCCTATGTTGTGTCATTACAGCATCTCCAGGGATCACCTTACAATTTTTACAAAGTTTTCTATCTGTGTTCCTAACCAAAAGAAAATCAATCTGCGACCTTGAGGCTCCACTTTTGTAAGTGATGAGATGCTCATCTCTCTTCTTGAAACAAGTGTTGGCAATCTTAAAATCATACGCCAATGAGAAATCAAGAAGAGTTTGCCCTTCATTGTTTAGCTCTCCAAAACCAAAACCACCATGCACCCTCGCATACTGACCAGCTTCTCTCCCGACATGCCCATTAAAGTCTCTTCCAATAAAAATCTTTTCACTCTGTGGTATGTGTCGAATCAACCCCTCCAGATCCTCCCAAAATAATTCCTTAAGACTGGCTTCTGTCCCGACTTGCGGCGCATAAGCGCTAACAATATTAACAGTCTCACGTCCAATTATCATTTTTAAAGAAATAATTCTGTCTCCAATTCTGCTAACTTCTACAACGTTCTTCTTCCACTCCTTATCTATAATGATGCCTGCTCCATTGCGTGCACTTACTTTTCCTGTATACCAAAGTTTGAAACCTTGAATATCGTTATCTCCTTCTCCACGTCATTTTGTTTCTTGCAAGCAAAGGATATTGATTTTCCTTTGAATCATAACCCCTACAACCTCTACAAATTTACAATTTAATGTTCCAACATTCCAAGTACCAAATCTAATTTTGCTCTTATGGACTAACTTCTTTAGCCGCGTGCGTCCAGAATGACGCGGTAGCCCTTGCTCATTTAACACTACATCCGGGCGCCGATACAGCGGCTCTAACTCACTTATCACTGTACTCGAGCCATGCAGCGCGTTACTTACGGGCAACGACCTAGCATTAACATTATAACGTCTATTGTCCATGTTCATGATAGATTCAACAAATTTTTACATTGGCTGTTGATGGCCTAACACAACCCTCCTCCTTTACTCGGACTTGGGACCGGCTATAAACATAGGCGGAGTTATTTGTATGATGAGCATACTGTGCAAAATTACGAATTGATGCGCCGTTACAAAGGAACCTAGGGCTTAGGATTGAAAATAAGTTAAGAGGGCTATGAGGTATGGCACAGGTGCAAGTAAAGGAAAATTCAGTGAATGAGCCCAGAGGACCTGAGTTTTGAGTAATTTCTTGAAATACCCAAATCTTATTTGAATCACCGATACTTGAAACTTTGGAGATGTTAAACTTTCTTCACTGCATCAATTTAAGGCTTGAAAGAGGTTGACAGACTCAAAATGAGATACAATTGACTAACAAAAAACTTTTTCATTGTAATTACATATCTGTTCTGATAAACCATTGACATGAATAATCCGCCCTTAATGATAAAAATTATGGTAAAGTACAGTTTCCCATTGTGTGGTTTCCTCCATTTTCATATGCTACAATTTTTTTTGTGTAAGTTTGCAATGTGTTTGTGATTTTTCTCCAATAGCACAAAGCTACTATGTGGTTAATTTTTGTCAATTTTTTTTTTTTTTACTGAGAGTTCCATGACTTATCTTGGTTCTGGAGAATGGTCAACTCACAAGGCTAGAACAGTTATCCTTTCCATTTAAATTAATATCGAGCCTGAAGATGGGAATAAGAAAGAAAAGCTAAGTGTCTTGAACAACGAGCATCAGAAGAACGAGATTTTTAGTTTAGCATATTAATTTGGTAGTTTATGATTGACCTACCAGCTTGAGTCTGATGTAAACTAAAATGGATGTGATATCGTTGTGTCAGCAACATATTCAGGATATAATGATTAGAACTTTCTATTTTAAAAGTAAACTGCTTATAATTCTGTTGCCTAATGTGCATATGGAATCTCAAGGTTACTGGGAATCAGTTATCAATTTTGATTTTGTATATATTGATTGATACTTGTTTTATATTTCCCTACAAGAGTACTCTAGTATTCTTCCCAGATAATTTCTGTTTTTGTAAAATAGAGAAATTAGGGATATTTGGGTTAAATGTCTTGTATATTTTCTGGTGGTCCTCTGCAACGTGTCTCCAAAGGAAGCATAGCCACTCAGCAGTGCTCCATTGAGGAAAATTATAAGCTATTGACAATAATAACAGGAGTCAACAGATCCACTAGTGGTGTTAGTTTTTCTACGAGTAGTCTATTTGACAATATGGCTGCAGTTCCATTAGGTTCTCATGGCTAAAATACTGGTGGATTGTAAGGAGCATATTAGCAGAGCTCTACAAACGCCAGTTTTGGGGCCACATGAACGTTGCTCCAGAAAGGCTATTAGTCTTAGATCAATATCTTAACTCTTAACGTTTCTTTGCTTATGCAGGAGTATAGCTTCCTGATAAGTTTCTTATTTACTTCTTATTTATTGTCTACCATATATCAATTCTTAAATTAACTCCGCCTATGTTTATAGCCGGTCCCAAGCCCGGGTAAAGGAGGAGGGTTGTGTTAGGCCATCAACAGCCAATGTAAAAATTTGTTGAATCTATCATGAACATGGACAATAGACGTTATAATGTTAATGCTAGGTCGTTGCCCGTAAGTAACGCGCTGCATGGCTCGAGTACAGTGATAAGTGAGTTAGAGCCGCTGCATCGGCGCCCGGATGTAGTGTTAAATGAGCAAGGGCTACCGCGTCATTCTGGACGCACGCGGCTAAAGAAGTTAGTCCATAAGAGCAAAATTAGATTTGGTACTTGGAATGTTGGGACATTAAATTGTAAATCTGTAGAGGTTGTAGGGGTTATGATTCAAAGGAAAATCAATATCCTTTGCTTGCAAGAAACAAAATGGCGTGGAGAAAGAGCTAAGGATATTCAAGGTTTCAAACTTTGGTATACAGGAAAAGTAAGTGCACGCAATGGAGTAGGCATCATTATAGATAAGGAGTGGAAGAAGAACGTTGTAGAAGTTAGCAGAATTGGAGACAGAATTATTTCTTTAAAAATGATAATTGGACGTGAGACTGTTAATATTGTTAGCGCTTATGCGCCGCAAGTCGGGACAGAAGCCAGTCTTAAGGAATTATTTTGGGAGGATCTGGAGGGGTTGATTCGACACATACCACAGAGTGAAAAGATTTTTATTGGAGGAGACTTTAATGCGCATGTCGGGAGGGAAGCTGGTCAGTATGCGAGGGTGCATGGTGGTTTTGGTTTTGGAGAGCTAAACAATGAAGGGCAAACTCTTCTTGATTTCTCATTGGCATATGATTTTAAAATTGCCAACACTTGTTTCAAGAAGAGAGATGAGCATCTCATCACTTACAAAAGTGGAGCCTCAAGGTCGCAGATTGATTTTCTTTTGGTTAGGAACACAGATAGAAAACTTTGTAAAAATTGTAAGGTAATCCCTGGAGATGCTGTAACGACACAACACAGGGTCCTAGTCCTTGATGTGTGTATTATGAGTAAAATCCAAAAACGTCGACAAGTAGTAACACCAAGGATTAGGTGGTGGCAATTAAAAGGTGAGAAGCAAGATATTTTCAAGCAAAATCTTTTGGATAAAGGAATTTGGGATTCTCAGGGAAGTGCTAACATCATATGGGAGGATATGGCTAAAAAGATACGGGAGGTTGCAAAAGTAGTTTTGGGAGAATCGAAAGGTTCTGGTCCGAGAGATAAGGAGTCTTGGTGGTGGAATAATAGTGTACAGGACAAAATCAAGTATAAGAAGAACTGTTTTAAAGCCATACATTTGTGTAACAATGAGGAAAATTGGGAGAGGTACCGTATGGCTAAGAAGGAAACTAAGAGAGCTGTGGGTGAAGCTCGTTCCAAAGCTTTTGAAGAATTTTATAAGAACCTTGAGACGAAGGAAGGAGAGCAAAATATTTATAAGATTGCCAAGAGTAGGGAAAGAAAATCAAGAGATCTAGAACAGGTAAGGTGTATTAAGGATGAAGAGGGAAGAATTTTAGTTACAGATGATGAAATTAAAAATAGATGGGAGACTTATTTTTCTAAACTTTTCAATGATGGAGAGGATTCATCTAGTAACTTGGAGGATTTAGTAACTGGTGAAGGAGAACAAAATTTGTCATTCTATCGAAAAATACGTGATAAGGAGGTAAAGGAAGCTCTTAAGAAAATGGCAAATGGTAGAGCTAACGGACCTGATTGTATATCTATCGAAGCGTGGAAATGTTTAGGTGAAGAAGGGGTGAGATGGTTAACTAAGTTATTTAATGTGATTTTACGGTCCAAGAAAATGCCTGATGAGTGGAGGAGAAGTACATTAATTCCTATTTATAAAAATAAAGGAGATATTCAGAATTGTACTAACTATAGAGGGATTAAACTCATGAGCCACACAATGAAATTGTGGGAGAAAGTAATTGAGCACAGGTTGAGATTGGAGACAAGTATTTCTGAGAATCAATTTGGTTTTATGCCAGGTAGATCAACTACAGAGGCGATTTATCTACTAAGGGGATTAATGGAAAAGTATCGTTGTAAAGATAAAGATCTACACATGGTTTTTATTGATTTGGAAAAAGCTTATGACCGTATACCAAGAGAAGTGCTTTGGAAAGCGTTGAAAAAAAAGGGAGTACGGATTGCTTATATTAAAGCCATACAAGATATGTATGAGGGGGTAAAAACTAGTATAAGAACGCCTAGTGGTCAAACAAAGGATTTTCCTATAAAGATTGGACTACATCAGGGATCATCTCTGAGTCCTTATTTGTTCAACTTGATTTTAAATGTTTTGACGGAACATATTCAAGAGGAAATCCCGAAATGTATGCTCTTTGCGGATGATATAGTTCTTATAGCAGAGACAAGAGAAGAGGTTAATTGCAAACTTGAGTTATGGAGGAGGACATTGGAGTCGAAAGGTTTTCGTCTGAGTAGAAGTAAGACGGAATATTTATATTGTAAATTTGGTAAAGGACTATTCGAAAATAATTTCGAAGTGAAATTGGGAGATCAAATTATACCTCAAGTGGAAAAGTTTAGATATTTGGGAGCCATTATTCAAAATGATGGCGAAATCAGTGGAGATATTTCACATAGAATTCAAGCTGGGTGGTTTAATTGGAGAAAAGCTAAAGGAGTTATTTGTGACCGGGTGCCTAATAAACTTAAAGGAAAGTTTTATCGTACTGCTATCAGACCGGCAATGTTATATAGTAGTGAATGCTGGGCTCTAACGGGACAGCAAGAGCATAAAGTTGGAGTAGCAGAGATGAGAATGTTACGATGGATGTGCGGACATACACGTAAAGATAAAATTCGAAATGAGCACATACGTGAAAAAGTGAGGGTGGCACCTATTGAGGAAAAAATGGTAGAAAATCGGTTGAGATGGTTTGGGCATGTACAAAGAAGACCAAGGGAGGCACCAGTGAGAAGAGTGGAACATATAACTTTGAGTCCGATTAAGAGAGGTAGAGGAAGGCCTAAGAGAACACTCTTGGAAGTTGTTGAACGTGATCTCTTAATTAATAATATTCTAAAAGCTTAATAAATGATAGAGCACAATGGCGTCTTGCAATCCATGTAGCCGACCCCACCTAGTGGGATAAAGGCTTGTTGTTGTTGTTGTTGTATATCAATTCTTAAATTACAAACAAAAAAAAAAAAAAAAGGTTTCCCATTGCATGCATTTTTGTACTGACATTTGAAGTCCATTTTACTTTGGACTATAATATTCTGTGTACTTTTTCTTGGCAAAGGCGTTGGTTTATATCGTAGTGCACAGTTTAATTTTATAAATTACATCGATGTGTGGTTTTCTGTAAAAGAATGAGCGTATCTTCGTTTGTTGATTTGTGAAGAATTTTGCTCCTTTTGTTTTTTTATTTATAACTTCCTTCTCTGTTAACTCATATCTCAAGACCCCTTGTGGTTAGAATTTCTAATGCTTATGATCCCTTTTTCTCAGAATGCTGCAAATAATGCGGATCTCACCTTGAAAAAAGCAGCATCAATGCATTCAATAGAAATGGATGAATGGTTATCATCATCTGAATCCTTGGAGGTCAGAAAGATGGAACTAGAGATTGAATCACAATTTATGAGTGAAGCTCAGGTGGAGTTGAATAACACCATTGAGCATTCAATCCTGGATGATAAAAGAGAAAAAGAAAACCTTTGTAGAAGAAAGGGCATCTTAACGGATGAGCTGGAAAAGCTACTTGCTTTAGTCAAACAAAAAGAAATGGAAATCGCAGAAAATGATGCTCATATCGAAGCTGTGGAAAAGAAAATATCTAACGTGGTTTCTGGATTTCAGGAAATTCAGTCAAGCATTGATCTTAAGTATGATAACTTGCAATCTGTCCTTGCTCAAGTGAGCTTAGAGACTGAAACTTTATCCCGAAAGAAGCAGGAAATTGATGACTTTCTCAGTCAGGGGGAAGGGATGGGAGCAAAGCTAATGGAACTTGCTAGGATTTCTGAGGAAGAAGCAAAAGGATATCGTGAAGCAGTTGGTGCAAGAAAAAGCCTCATGTCATCAATATTGAAATCCAGGGAGGAAAAAGTGACACTTGCAAACAATGAGGAAAAGCTTTCTGAAGATGTCAAATTGCTCCAAGAGGAGGTTTCTGCTGCTAGAGCTTCCTTGCAGGTTATTTCTTATACTAATTTCTTGTGTATTTTGATTGTTTATATGGCTAAAGTGCGAGGAATAATCACCACACACAATCCCTGTGTCATATCAGGCACCTCTGCCATGTGATAAACTACTCTTTTGTGTTATTGCTCCCGCTAAGCTGCTTGAGAATACATTAGTTTGAAATGCCACATGTGGCTCTCATGTAAATCAATTCTCTGATATTTTGAATTCATGTTTTTGACCATTTTACCCTTAGGTTGCTTGTTCATGTGAAGTCTGATGACGTTAATATTCTCTTCTGATAAAATATATTGATGGCTATTTTCTTCAAATGTTATTACGCTGTTTTTAGGAACTATCATCAAGAAAATCAAGCATTCAGCAAGATATAGCATCTCTAAAGCAGAGGATTATTTTCATAGATAAAAGAGTCCCAGAACTTGAAGCAGAGAAGAAAGTTGCTACTGCTGCTAGAAATTTTAAGGAGGCTGCACGGATAGCTGCCGAGGCCAAGTCACTGTATGTTGAAAAAGAGGACATGCAGATAAACATGGACACAGGGACTTCAAATCTTGAGAAGGTTGAGGAAGAAATCAAATCTACCCTTAAACAATTGAAGGAGACTGAGGAAGTGATTCTATTCAAGGGAAAGGAATTGGCAATGGCCAGATTTCAGAGGCTACTTTTGGCAGCTGGTACTGCCAGAGCAGAAAAAGCTGCTGCATTGGAGATGGGTGATGTGGAAGAAGCTAATCTCCTACTCGCGGAAGCTGAAGCTGCAGACTCTGAAGCTGAGAAACTTCAGTCAACATACAATTTCAAGGCAGAAGATTTCACAAATTTGAAAAATCATTTCATTTCAATTGATCTTGTGTCGCACCTCGGTTCCAAACAGTTGGCAGAATTAGCTACACCACATCACCAGTTTTCCGGTTGATTGTTCAGACTACAGTGGATTTTGTGATTGTCAATGGATGATTTTATGATGGAAGAATATAAAAATTCTGATAATTATATGGTGCTGAAAGTCCTGAATCGTTTTTAGGCTCAAGTCTTCCATTGGAACACTATAGAGACACTGTTCTTGTTTCCCTTCATTCAGATGATTGCGGAGTTGAAGTTTATATCAAGTTGTGCCTCTTCTCTAACTTCCCGAGTGGTTCTGCCCTGACCAGTGAAAGAAGAGAGATCAACCCCAATGTACATGAGGGAGTTACATTTACAAGGTTGCTACTATGTCTCAAGATTCATATTTGGAATCTTTGCTGTTATGTTTTTTTTAATTGCAAAAAGTTTAAGTGAGTTGGATCTATAAGAATTTATTAAGGCTAAAGCATGCTTCCAAATTTAAAAAATACTTACAGAGATATTTATAAATCATTTCCAATGAGATGTTCACATCGATAATAGGATTTGAAATTATAGATTTGTAGATTATGAGTTAAACTTTTATCAACTGAATCAATCTTTATTTAATTATTTGCTGTTATGTTTGATAATGTGGATGGGCTGCATTGGCAGATGATCTATATCAAGGGCCCACATACACTCATGATTGTGGCAGCATCTTTGGTGTTGTTTTCTCCTCCTTAAAGAGGCTTTATCTTGGTTGTTTGAGACATCCATCATATGCCTTGTGTTTTGAAGTCTATGACTCTAAAGCAACATTGGACTGCAGATTTTTAGGGAGGGAAGAAAAGGGCAGCTTTCTTGTTTGGAGTGTTTGGAGTACCGTATCCTCTCTAGAGGATCCGGACAATCTGACACGCCTACTAATTCTTCACTGTAAGCTTGAATCAACGTGTGTTCTGCATAGAAGTGTTAATTTGGTACACTGACTAACTGAGCGAAAATAATTTTATGAACGAAGATTTATTTTCTATTTTATTTTAAAAAAGTAGTAAGAAAGATAGATATTATTATTAAGTGATAATAGTAATATAGCAGACATTACCACACAAAAAAGAAAAAAAAGCAGACATCTCCACTTAGAGAGGCCTCTTTAGTGACTTCGCCTGTAATTCCTTTCATATTATTGTTAAGGGTGACTTTGAAAGTTTAGAGAAAGTTAAATTATAAATTTAATTTTGCAGCAAAAATAGGTGGAAGTTGTTTACAAGAAATATTACATTGTGGATTTTCTCAATTGATTTTTTTTAGGCCCACAAATAATTTAATCAAAATATGAGAATTTGGTTGAGTAACTAGATAATTGAGTTAATCAAAATATAAATTTTTAGAAAACCATAATTGAAGTTTTCATAATTGAATTTTTAGGCTATCTAAACAAGCATTAAGTTGTGTTTAAGGCACACAGTGAGATTATGGGCCCCCTTGATTGATGCCAATAAAAGCAAAAGAGGGGCGGCGAATCGCAGAGTTATACTCGAAATGGCAGAAATTATATGAATCCTCAAAAATCCATATTCACTGAACTTGTCTGCCTACCGTAGAATATTTCTTAATATTATCAATTTTTTTGAATCAAGATATTATCAATTTCGAGCGACTTCAACAAGTTATGCATCACAATCTTGGATGACGTTTTTATCAATGGCAAAAGAAAAGGACAGAGACATTTTCATCGGAATGCATGTCCATATCGGTGTGATCATGTATGCCTTCTGAATGTCATGTCATTTTAGTTTACATTCTCGCACCAAAATATTGCGATAATTTTTTATACAATTATTTTTTTTTTTACGCTTGTTAAGAATTCATTGAAAAATATTTAAAAATTAAATTAATTTTCTGAAAAAAATATTTTTAACCTTTTGATATATTTAATCTTAATAGGTCACTGTTACATGTATAAAAATAAAATGAATAAATATAACTTTTAATTCATATACTTTACTTACGTTTTACTTTTTGGTCTTTATACTTTTTTTAATATTTTATGTCTCTATATTTTTACCTTTAATTGTTTTGAATTCTTTTAAGATCCTTATATTTGCTCATAAGAGGATTAAAAATAATAAAAATAAAAGTGTAGGAACCTAAAATATAAAACAAAATATAAAAATTAAAAATAAAATGTAAATAAAGTATAGGGACTAAAAATTATATTTTATTTAAATACAATTATTTTCTTCATCAAGGATCTCTTTTGTTTTATGTGGATATTAAAATGTAAATATTTTTCAATATTATCCGTATATTAGGACAATTAATAATTTTATAAAAAAATGAGTGGCCATCACATAAGTTTAGTATATACTAGACAACTAATACTTAATCATCATCATCACCATCATTAAAAAAATGTGATAAAACATCAAAATAATAAAGTTCTAGAAGTAATTTAATAACAATGAAGCAATAGCATATAAGGACGAGATCAGGGGGCTTGAAATGGATGGGACTAAACTAAAAACTAAAACTATAATAATTTTTAAAAGCCTGAACTACGAAATGTTTATCTCAATTCTCAAAAGACGAAATTGGAGTAAAATATATTTTGCCTGTAGACTGAAAAATTGAAGAGAGAAAGAAAAAGAATTAAAGTATGTGATTGTGAGGGGAAAGAAAAAAATAAAATAAAAAGAAAAGCAAAGCAAAGCAGCTCTGTCTTGTCTGTCCCGGTTCGCTCTCTCACTTCTTATTTTCTCTATCTTCATCAAGCTCCAATCTTTTTCGCTTTTGTCTTTCTCTGTCCTTTGAATGAACGTATGAATTAATAAATATTCTTCATATAATCTTCTTCTCGCATCAAAAGTCCAGGTGGTGTCAGCTTCTTGTGATGAACAAGTGCGAGAATGATCTTCTTCGCCTAACTTATCATTAGTGTCCTCTCAAACCTGACATTGGAAACTGGAAACCACTACCAGCTCAGTGTAAAAGCACTGGTACTGAAAACTGATGGGGTCCGAGCAAAATCGATTTCCTCAACAGGAAAGGGTATCGCTCTGAATCTCTCACATCCTGCTTTAACTTGAAATTTGCGTTGTTGGATTCTAAATTACTCAAGCTTGCTTTATCCGTGAGGAATTGACTGTAGGAGTTAGATCTGAGGTACTTGGTGCAAAACCTAACTCCAATTTTGTTTGTTTCCGATTGGATTTCGTGTTCTTCGTTTGCTTGTGCCCGTTTTTACTCTTCGATGCATGTGCCTCTCTCAGATCTCACATTGAGCGACTGTAATTGTATTTGCACCTGAGAACCGCTGCTTTTTTTCCTGCTTCGTCTTCTTGTTATTCTTTAATCTGTTAGTCTGTGGATGGTAATTGACGATAAGAGCCCCTATAGCTTGTTTTTTCTTCTATCGAGGGTCATTTCTTCGTGCCCGAACTACATTTGGACGGATCTGTTGAATTTCCAGCTTCGAACGCCTCCTCTATTATTCTCTAATAGAAGCTTTTTAGAGGTTTTTTCCCTTGGAAATTAAATTGAAGAGCGGTCTGATTTGATTCTTTTTGGTGCATTTGCTCTTCTTGTTTTCTCTGGATACGTTAATTTGTTAAGTCGGACTTGATCGATAGTACCACTTCCACACTTGTCCATTTTTTGAAAATCGTATTAATACCCGTTTGAATGCTCTTTTTCCCAGGAAAGAAAAAAGAAGTTGATCCAAATGGGACTTTAAGCATCCCAAATATAGGGATTAGAACAGCTTTGGTTTAATCAACAGCAACATTTTCTACAATTTAGTCCTATGTCATATCAAAACTCCGCCAAAGTTGATATGTGCTGTTATTTCTGTTGGATCATTTGATTTTAGTACTTATTTATTGTTGATACCTGCAAAATTAAAAGATATTCAATCTTTTGAAATAATATATTGGTCCAAATGTATTTTTGTTCTGTTTGTACTCCTTTCCCCGTTTCATCTTAAAATGCCTTTGAGCTGTTGAACTCTGACAAGCGACTCAATGCTTCAAAAGAAATAGTCCAAACTTATTGTTTCTTCTTGTATCTATTTGTAAATGGTCTCCTGCATTTGAGTAAGTCTATAATGCCTGTATTGACAGAGAAAGAGATGGGGAGGATGTTGGAGTGCATTTTCTTGTTTTGGTTCGCAGAAAGGAGGGAAGCGTATTGTACCAGCATCTCGCATACCTGAGAGCAATGGGCCAACTGCCCCGCCAAACGGGCCTCCAGCAGTCAGGTTGACAAATCAAGCCACAGCACTAGCTCCTTCTCTTCTCGCTCCACCTTCTTCACCTACATCCTTTACACATTCGGCTCTTCCTTCAACTGCACAGTCACCTAGCTGTTACTTGTCATTATCTGCCAACTCACCAGGTGGTCCTTCATCTACAATGTTTGCCACTGGACCATATGCTCATGAAACCCAATTAGTTTCTCCTCCTGTCTTTTCAACCTTCACTACTGAACCATCCACTGCTCCTCTCACTCCTCCTCCTGAGTTAGCTCACTTAACAACTCCCTCTTCCCAGATGTACCGTTTGCTCATTTTCTTTCTTCTTCGGTGGAACTAAAAAATGACAAGACTAACTACATCACTACAAATGATCTTCAAGCTACATATTCACTGTATCCTGGCAGTCCTGCCAGTAGCCTTATATCTCCAAAATCAAGGAATTCTGGTGACGGTTTATCATCTTCTTTTCCAGAACGGGATTTCCCTCCACAGTGGGATCCATCACTACTCCCCAAAAATGGAATATATCAAAGTCCTGGATCTCGAAGGCTGTCCGGGCACGATACCAATGGTGTACAGCTTCTCAAGATACCAAATTTCTTCTGCCCTGCTACCTATGCACAATTTTATTTGGACCAAAATCCTCCCTTTCCTCATAGTGGTGGGAGGCTAAGTGTTTCCAAGATTCAGATGTTCAATCTACTGGTGGCAATGGACATCAGAATATTCATTCCAGAAGTCCAAAGCAAGACGTGGAAGAAATAGAAGCTTACCGAGCATCCTTTGGTTTCAGTGCGGATGAAATTATCACCACCCCTCAATACGTGGAGATTTCTGATGTGATGGAGGACTCTTTTACAATGACTCCCTTCACCTCTTCGAATTCAACTATGGAAGAAACCACAGAGTCTCCCTTGATGAAAGGATTCAAATCTCAGGGGATACCAGTGGCTTCACAGAGTCGTCTCAGATTAGAATCAGGCTATGTTGCCACGGACGGACACAATCAGCAGCCAGTATACCAAGAATATGAAGGTATGCTGTGTTTTACCCGATCTGTTTATTTCATTACTTAAAAAAACAATAGAGAAACTCACTTATAAATTAATCTGCATTTATTTCCATCTAAAACTATAGTCACTTGAGTAACTGGACCCTTGATGAGCCGTGGTACTTGGTAAGGGTTAAATTTATGCAAGGCATGTTGATCATTTGTTTATGTATTTTATTTATGAAGTACTAGATATCAGAAGTGGCTGAAAAGGTGGAGGATATTGTTGTTCAGGAGTGATTTTAATGGACTAGGATTCCCGTGCCTCAACTTCATATCGTTTTCTTTACGTCCCAATAAGCAAATATTCCTTTCATGCATGTCTCAGATATTAAATCCCAAAGGCGTAGCAATAACAGCTGTTCCGGAGCTAGCACGCCAGGAAACACCACCGTGAGGGAGGAGGATGTATTCGCTAAAATGGGTCAAACCGAGTCAGTAAAAAACATGAAATGGGGCTGTCTTGCTCTGATGCAGAGATTGACTACAGAAGGGGCAGAAGCTTACGAGAAAGAAAGGGGAATGGGATATGGCATGGTTAGGGTTTAGTGAATCAGTGGAAGAAAAACAGATCCTTGGTTGTCTGTATTAATTTAAAGGCTTCTTTTTTTTCTTCTTTTTTTTAAATAGAGTAAATGAAACTCTTCCTCTGGGGTTCTCTAATAGATGGACTGTTCTAACCTGGATCTAACTAATGCTCTGGTCAGGTGTGTGTCAAGAACATGCT